ACCTATTTATTCTTTTTCTATCTCTTAAGTTTTCATTTTAATATATAACTTAGTTAATTACATTTATTTATTCAAATTCACAGAAGCAATGGATGAAATTTTCTCAAAAATTTCCCATTGCTTCAATATATTTGTAACTTTTAGATGGTTCCTTTAGTAGTTTATCTGCAGCATTAATAGTGTCTAGTTCCATCTCCAACTGCAGAACGTTTTGAAAGATGTACACCTACTTTGCTTCAACGTAATTCTCTTATCCTCATTTTTTATGACATCTATAAATTGTTAATGTGCCAAAGAATCCATCATTTCACAAAAGTATCTTCTTTCCTCCTTACCATGTTTGTGGAATTTTGCCCTGGATACTTTTTTCTTGTGCATTACTCCCAACCTGTTGAACAAGGCAACTATCAATGCTTGATAGTTGTTATGACTCTAAGCTGGAAGAGGACTTAATGTAATCAAAGCTGATCCTATTAAATGGGCAACATGATGGATGGTTTGTTGTTCACTGTTTCACCTGTTTCTTCTGAAAATGATTTCAAATTGAGCCTGATGACTGCCATAGTACCTTCCCATTATAGTCTGGTGGTTTCTCTATTTGCCAATGCTAAACTCTTGAACTAGATTTGGTTGTGTCATGACTGGAGCAGTTCAGGAAGGTCCTTCAATAACAGGTGGTACAACAGTATTGGTAATAGGTGTAAACAAAATAAGCTCTTCTATTCCATATTTCATAGCAGATAATGTTCCTGGCTGGAACTCCTAAGCTGATGCAGAAAGTATTGCTGGTTTACGCTTTGCATTTAATAATTCATTTTCCAGATGTTATATTTGTTCACTAATGTTCTTTTCTACTTCAGTGATGTTTATCTTTACTTCACCTTTGGCTTCATCAGTTTTGTAATTACAGCCTTTACATATTTCAATCTTATTGTTGTAATCACTTTGTACATATCCAGTAGTTTCATCAGTCTTGTCTTCAGTCAGATTTATTTTTGATTTTAATTTTTCTTGAAATAGTAAGTCTCTTTCTTTTAACTTTTCACTTAAATTCCTGTCTCTTTCTCTATGGTCTTCTTTTAATTTTTTGTCACATTCTTCCAATTTTCTGTATCTTTCTTCATGGTTTATTTTTTTATTTTTAGTCTCTTTCCTCTAAATCTTGTCTTAATAATTCCATCATCTCCATTAACACTTTACTTACAGTCCTAGACATTATGGTTGCCATCTTAAGAGTTGAAATTCAACTCAAGTATATTCAAAGTTCAATTTTATTTTCACCAAAATAACCCATCTCTGACACCAGTGTTTTAATGTTCTTTCTTTGGCAAGTTCTGTTAAATTATCTGATGAAAATAATTTAAAATCCAGTCTGTAAAAATACCAATTAATTTATTTCATCTATAATATTTCTTTACAAGCTTGTAAACTTTGTAATTTGTAAGCTTTAGACCTAAATAATTCTACAAATGATGCTCAACTGACAGTACCTCAACTAACACAAAAAATAAACTTATTTGTAAACTTCACAGCTTATTGATTGAGTAGCTGAAAACAAAACACTCTCACTGATTAACTCTATCTATTCTTTACTTATTCACTCCAGCTTAGCTTATTGACTGGCTCACCAGCATTTATATATAATCCTTGTTCTAAATATTTTGCAAAGTCTCTTATTTGATACTATTCCCAAATATTTTAGAATTAACTTGATCTTGGTGTGATTTACCTTATAAATCTATTAGTTACACATTTTATACAAATATAAAGGAGGGGTTACAAAACACCTAAAGATTTAGCTTACAGGAAACCTTACAATCTTGATATAGGATCCTTATATTTAGTTCTAACTTTATGAGTTAGAATCTGAGCATGATATATGTTCTTTAATTAAGATGAAAAAGTAGCTAAGCTAACTCTTAAAAACAACTACATAAAGAAGTTGCCAGAAAACCTGGAACAATATCATTATACTGATTTAAGCATTGAGATACTCCTTCTCATAGGTTATCCTTGGAATAAATTTAGTTTTTTTCCAAAGTCCAGATTCATTGTTCCTGAGTTTAGTAATTGTTTTAATTTTACATTGTGAACTTTCACTAGCAACATGCTTGACCTGGCTGAACTATGGAGGAAAAAGTCATTAACTACTGATTTCACATTAGTCAGTAGGTTCAGCTCATACTGTAAATCTCTGCAACAGGACTTTGTTTCCATGTAAATGCCAACTAGAAACCATGTGTGACTTTAACCTCCACATGCTAACAATCCAAAGACAGATTGTGTTTATATAAAAACTAATAAGTTTAAAAATATTTCACTTCTAAACAAACCATAGTATTTAAACTATAACATGGCAATAATATTATCTATAAAAGATAAATCTTTAATAACTAAATCTGTATTCACTGTTATATAAGTAAACAAATTCATCCACAAGAACCTAATTATTCAGAAGAGAAACACCAGTCAAAAGCCACATAAATGTAATCTTTTTATCTAATAAAACATCTAATTACCTAATTCAACCAACATAAAATTTCCTAGCTTCAGACATAAGCTTATAAGTTAGTTAAGAAATCACACATATACTTATATATGTATATATATATAATAATTATTTTTAGTTAATCAAATGGTTTTTATATTATTGCTACTTTACCCAATTTTCTATCAACATTTTATTTTAAACTTTAAATTTCCATTAGATATTCATCTTATTTTGATATTCCTATATTGCTATTAATTTATTAAAGTCAGTTGTTATGATATAATTATAGAATTTAAGATTAACTACTAACTATTGCTTAATAACAAAAATAGTGATGCACAACAGCTTTATAAAGATTAATGTTCAACTGGCATTTTATGTATAAAAAATTGAACATTGAAAAGCTGGTGATTAGAATTGAATTACTTAGATTAATAACTTTTAATAAAAAAGCAATGTATATTAGTCATATTGCATAGAAGTTTTTAAAGTAATGTAATGAAATATTTTGTTTTATTTTACAGCCTGCAATTTACTTACAGAAACATTTATTAATGCATTTCTTTCAGGTCTACATATCTTGCTGAGCATAAAAGGCCCTTGGGGAAAAGTTGGCTACAAATACAGTTCTGTGCAGTTGACAGATGAAGTCTATCTTGTAAATTATAATTCAAGAAATGAAGGAAAAATTGAAAAGAAACTAAAGTATTGTGAACCTTATCCACCACCTGTGCCTTATCCACCACCTATGCCTTATCCACCACCTGTACCTTATCCACCACCTGTGACTTATTACCCACCACCTGTACCTTATCCACCACCTGTACCTTATCCACCACCTATAACTTACCCACCACCTATAACTTACCCACCACCTGTAACTTACCCACCACCTGTAACTTTCCCACCACCTGTATATTATCCACCACCCATACCTTATCCACCACCTGTAACATATCCACCACCTGTAACATATCCATCACCTAAACCTTACCCACCACCTGTACCTTACCCACCACCTATAACTTTCCCACCACCTGTAACTTACCCAACACCTGTAACTTACCCACCACCTGTAACTTACCCACCACCTAGAACTTACCCACCACCTCTAACCTACCCACCACCTTGACTTACCCACCACCTATAACTTACCCACCACCTATAACTTACCCACCATTCATAACTTACCCACCACCTATAACTTACCCACCACCTATAACTTATCCACCACCTATAACTTACCCACCACCTATAACTTACCCACCACCTATAACTTACCCACCTTACCAACCATCTAGGACTTACCCAACACCTATAACTTACCCACCACCTGTAACTTACCCACCACCTATAACTTACCCACCACCTATAACTTACCCACCACCTATAACTTACCCACCACCTATAACTTACCTACCATCTAGGACTTACCCAACACCTATAATTTACCCTCTACCTGGTCCATCTACAAGTTGTCCTTCAGTTCCTTATTCCTGTCTCAACTGCCATCATGACATAGATTATAAACTGGAGGAAATTATTTGTACACTTGATTTCAGTAAGTTCAGGCATCATAAAATATTTAGTCTGTATATTTTGTGTAATACTTTATGTACATTAATAAGAATCACAGAATTAATGACAGCAATTAAAGATACTTTTTAGTCATTTACTGTATATTATGGGCAATCACTTATTATAAGCATGAATTCATACCTTCATATTTAAAGTACATGTAATCACTTTAATAACCAGAATCATCTCATAAAGATTTGTAACTTCTATAATAAAATAGCAGTTTGTTTTTATATACTAAGATGAACATAGTCTTAGTTAGCAGCAGATTTGGTATGGATATTAAAGAAAAATTTATTATATAGTGTTTTAAAAGTTTGCTCAGTATTTTGTTTCTAAGCATTATAAATTATATGTGATTCATAAAAAGACTTGACTATTTGTTTTACTATCCTTCCTATAATATTTCTAATATATCAACATAATATTTTTCATGGATAATAATGATACAATCACAGGTAAAGATAAAATATTTTCATCTAATATTAAGTCAGCCTCATTTGATTACTCTGGTTTTCGATACAGTATCTTATCTTTTCTCACATAATAGCACTTTCCCACTCAGTGCTGTCCTCTATATGCACAAATATTTTTGCTTGCCACTAGCCTTGAAACTCTCATCTATCCCATGTTTCAACATGGTTCAGCTGAGTTGTAGCATGCAAATAAACATTCAACAACTCTCTACCAATATGAGAGCAACACACTGTCCTATCACAGCTGGCTCCCTCTTTATTGGAGAACCTAATCTTTACTTTTCAATTTGGCACAGTGGAGATCAAATGTCTGCAAACATTTGCTCATGTTAATTGGTTTTAGTGCATGTTTATTTTTATGTTGATTAACTAATTTTTTTTCTACTTAGTAGATTTGTTATTTTCAATTCGTTTAATAATATCAGTTAAACAAATTAAAGAAATAATGACTTTTTTCTACTTGGGAAATGCCCTACAGTTGATATGACCTGAGAATTTCAAGTCACTGCAACTGCTATATCTCTGGCTTCAGGTTCCACACTTTCAGCTGAGTAGGTCCCAGTCTTTGTCAGAAGGGAGCTTGAATCCATCACGCAGCCAACAGCTTCTCTAGAACTCAGGCAGGACATATCTTTTCCTGTAAAGACTGGGCAGGATGACAAAGATTTAGAGATTCTTTTTCTTCCCCTTTCCTATGCCACGCAGTCCCGAGTTTCTCCTGTGGATGTTCCCAGGCTGCCCTCGGTTTTCCTGGATATGGTATCACAGGTATTTTACCTTTTGTCTGTATTCCCAGTTTCATATAACTCCTCTCCTTCACTCCTACATTTGGCACCTTCCTAGGAATACCTCGTTTTCCTCTCATCTCCAGATATTAGAGCCCATAATGGATAATTTCTGGCACAACTGCATGCGGGGGTCAGCATGTCTCATCCCCCATCGAGTTTTGGATCAAATATGCTTTTGTATACCATCAAGTGGATTTCCTGTTTTTGGACTCCCAACAGCTGGAGACATTGATTCAGGTTTGGGGTTCAGACCCTGATACTTCTGTGAGGTTATCCTACACCCAATTTTTCTACCTTCATTTAACCCTAATCTCCCTCATATGTTACCTTTCCTCCATTCATCTCCTCACAGAGGCTATTTGCTGATCCCCTGCGGGGTTTTTGGAGGATACTTGTAATCTTATTTTCTCCACGTTTGTGTGTTTATCCTCCTCAGCTCTTTCCCTCTAAACATGGCTCCTCTATTGTTGGAATCTCCTGAGTAGGGATGCTCTGTTAACTAATGTGCATCTACCCACGACCTACCTATGAGATCTTTGGATGGCTCCTTTTTTATGTTGGTTGACTTTTGGAGATCTACCTGATTCATTGGACTAATGGGTAGAGATACAATACTCTTCTATTTCTTCCTTGGTCTCTTAAGTGTCGCAGCCTTCACCTGCTCTTGATCCTACTCCTATTTCTCATCCTCTTCATTCAGCCTCTTTATCTGTTCCACTTAATCATGTTTCAGCAGTGAGTTGTCAGAGTATTCACCACTGAAACCCATACTGCCAAGGGTACTGGTAACTATCCTGTAAGTTCTGGCAAGGTAGGTGCACGCTTGGCCAGATTCATGCAACTAGGGCACGATTTCACGTCAGATCCATGGGTGATTCAGGTACTGTCAAAAGATTTATCCCTTCATTTCCTCAATCCTCCTCCTTTTTTTCACAGACTCAGTATCCTTTCCTCCTCCTCCTGCCAACTTATCAGGCTAGCTTATTCATCCTTATCTCCCAAATCCCAACCTTTTTTTTTTTCAGGTGTCATCTCATCAGATTTGACATCTTACCTTTTCCCTGGCTACTTACCCATATCATCTCATAAAAGAAATCATCCAGGCTAGCATGTATGTGGAACTCATCCAACACCTTCATCTCCCATTATCTCCACACAATAATTTAACTGTGAGTTGGTAAATTTCTTTTCCCTTACAGGATCACACCTCTCTTTCATATCAGATCCCACTCAGTGGTGAGTGGTGCCTGTCCAGGTATATTTATTGGCTGGGGAGCTACCATCCTACCATCTCTTGCATGATTGATTCCCAGGAAAGCTGGTTTTGGAAAGGAACTGGACCAGCCAACAAACCTACACTGTACAGCCTTTCACAAAATACTAATCAAGTTGGGAATCCTCATCATACCATCCCCTTCAGGTTTATTCCCAGAAGGTTTGGTGTGGAAAGAAGCTGGACCAGCCAACATAACCATAACAACAAGGCCTATAACACATACTGTTGAGATAGGGTGTTTGATAAGAGTGCTAGTAGGTTCATATCATGGAATATTTCATCATAGATATGCCTCTCCCAGACTGTACTGTCTCATAGACTATAATGAGTAAAGTAGAAAGGGATTGCTACCCATCCCTCTGTTTCTTAAATTGAATAATTCAGGAGTGGCCTGTTTTTCAAAATACAGTTTCATTGTCACCTTTTGTGCAGTCTCCAGTGTAGCATTCCTCTAGACTCTCCACCACACTTCCTCCCCTACTACAAGTGGAGTAAGAGAGTCCTTAACACTTACCTGTTCCTAGCCACTGGGGTGGTGGATCATGGAGGCTTCCTCCTGAATGTACTCAATCCCATTCAATCGAGAGTCAGGTGGTAATGTTCTGTTGGTGTAGATGATGTGTAATCCTCCTCCAACTGAAGACTGGAAAAAAAATACCTGAACCCACCTGGTCATAAACTGGTGATCCACCAAAATGCAGCTCACCTCTCTGGTTGGGTAACCCAAGCCTACCATCTCCTGGAAGTTGATTCCCATGAGGTCTGGTTTTGGAAAGGAGCTGGACCAGCCAATATAAGTCCTCATACATGTGATGGTAGAGATATACTAATTGAGTGAGGAACTCCCATCCCATCCTTTTCCTCAGGTCACTTCCCAGGAGATATGGTGTTGGAAAGGAACTGCACCAGCCAATAGATATACTAATCAGCCAGGGAAGCCCCATCCTATCATCTCCTGCAGGTCAGTTGCTTGACGGTCTGGTTTTGGTTTTGAGTGAACCACCATGTTACACTTCCCTTCCTATTATCCTTTGGATTCTGGGTTCCTGAGTGACTAGTTTTGGTAATGGATCTGACCTGACTAGGAAGACTGAACAGAACATTTTTTCCTTCTGTTTTCTCATCTTGAGGTGAAGACAGTAGGGATCCTCCTACTACCATGGACCAGACAATAAATACCCGATGCCACCTGGTTTTGGACTGGAGTTGACCCACTGAGTATGGTCTGATGCACCCTAGACATTCTACACCATATATCTTTATATTAAACAAACTAATCAATTGGGCAACTCTCATCCTACTATCTTGTGCAGGTTGGTTCCCAGGATACCTCATTTTGAAAAGGAACTGGACCAGCCAACGTATTTAGAATCATGGATATGCTCCTTTTTTTTCCACCCAATTTAATGACACATACTTTCATGATGGGTGAAGAGTATACCTGGTTCAGAAGTGGTGTGGTCTCCCATGCATGTGTTCCTTTAACAAGAGAAGTCACTCCATAGGCATTCTTTGTCCATTTCCGAAGGGTGCCTATCTAGGTATATTTTGCACTGGTCTCTCCACCAGGTCAGTGTGGGATTCTAGCTATTATGTGAGCGGAGGTAAGATAAGAAAAGAAAATTGTCATTTTTAATAAGACTAGTATTTTTTTTAAAACCATTAAGTTTGTTTCAAGATCAAAGGAGCTTTTTATATGTGTTGGATAAATGGACATAATTTTAACTTTGCCCACTTATACACTCTCAAAGGGTGTCATTTGTTCCAATTAACATTAGGAAGAATCGTTTTACTTTATGGGAATATTTCTTGGATCTATTTCTCTATGTTGGCTGTAAGAAGATTGAAAATAGTTGGATGAAAGACAACTTGAGATATTTAAACTTTAAAACTTGTTCTGTTTTTATTTTGATATATAAGTGTTATATAAGTAATGGTAAGATATACCCATATTTTATGTTAAATTATTCTTTGTTTTATTGTCTCATACAGTTATTTTGTAATAGATATTTTTTAACTTATATAAAATACTTCTAAGCAGTTTTATTGAATATAATGTTAGTATGAATTAACTATTCAAATATTTTAATATGTTAATCTTCTTAGTTCTCAAGATTGACATCAAAACACTTCCTGGTTCAGGTAAGTCATCACATGTAATTTTTTACCCATTTAAATACATCCTTTTATGTGAATCATCTAGAGTAATAAGAATAAATTTCATATAACCATACTATGAAATATCTTATAAATGTACATGTATAAAAATGTATTTTTATTATTATAAAAATTCACATTTTAAATACATATGTATATTTTAAATTCAAAACATAATTTGCTTTAAATAGCATATAACTAAATGTTTGTGTCATTAGAATAAAAATATTAAGTAGTATACTCTTTATGTACAATTTACAAATATTCTTTAATAGGAAAATTTAATTAATTATATTAATTTATCCTTTGATGCCTCTTCATGAAATAGCTGCTTACTTTTAAATTATTCTTAAATCTTTTGTGAGCTTGGAATTGTTCTTATTATATTTTTTTTTCTAGGATATGGATTTTCTTGTGGAAAGTTTGTAATTATCAAATTATACAAAGGTAACAAGTATGACTTTGCATATGAGATCACTTACAGCGTGAAAAAAGACTGCTATTGTGACCAACTGAAAGTTGGTAAGTTTTGGTGAATAGTTTTTAAACATAAGACTTTTTGATACTTTAGGAGAAAAAAGGGATGTTTTTGTGAGTTAATATTTGCATACACCTTCACATGATTATTAATATTTTAATCAAATAAATAACATGGTATGAGTATTTTCATTTTAAGAAGAACCCATTTAATTATCAAACACGTATAAAGTTCTGAAATGGTCTTACCTTATCTCACCCAGAGCTACCTCAATCCTTGTCTGCCTTATAAGCATTGCTAAAAGTACACCAGTCTTTTATACCTTTCAATTTACACCATTTTTTTAAACATTTCTTAAATTTAATATGCACCATATTCTGAATAACTATTCACTAATAACAACTACAAATGATATTGATCCATATGTACATTTTCTCTTTCTCTTTAATAATTGTGCTTTGTTTTTTATTATATTTTAGTTTTTTCTTATTGTCCTGTTCATTTTGATGCGTTATTCTTGCTTTTGTCCATTTTTTCTTGATTGTGTTATCAATTATATTTTTATGATTCTCGTTTGTCATTCTTCCACATTCTTATATGTTTTTAATTTTGTTTTCAACATTTTCATTTGTGCCTAAACTCAGTAGTGCTATTATACATCCTTTTAAAGTTTCAGCTTTTACTTTTTATATTGTGTGCAGAAATGTAGTTTATCTAAGTTCCATTGCAAGACTTCTTTTGGTGGATTTTCAAACTTGTTGTTTATATTCATATAGTTTATACAACCATTTTCGTCATTTTCTATTATAAAGTTTTATGTCTTTATGATGTTCATTAATATGTTTAAAAAATACATTATATTTCATTTCATTTAAAGCCATTAGAAAAGTAGTGAAATTATTACTGTACAAGCAAAAATACCCATCCCCAGTGACCAAAAAAGTTTAAGTTAATGTAGCAAAAGTACCTGTTCCCAGTGATGGGAAAAGTTTAAGTTAATCTATAAATTTGAATTATTTAATGAACTTTAAAAAGGATAATTGTGTTGCATTCTTGGTTTACTCAGAGCCAAAGCTCTGAACTTCTTATACCGCCCACTGCGAAAAGTAGTTGTTGAGTCATGCTGAGAGCCACTCAACATATGGTAAATATTTGTTATTTAAGTTGTGTCACATTTTGAAATGTGAATGATAGTGCAATTAATTTCTTACAATTTACTGTAGAATATCCTGCTTGCAAAATAAAATTTGGCATCATCATTATTCATGCCTGTTCTCCCATCATTTCAAAAGTGAATATTGAGCTTTGCCTGTGTGTGCAGCTTTTCAACCAGGAGACAGACAAACGCTCAGACAAACACTATGGTTTGCAATATATGTAAGATTAATGGCCTTTGTCTTTGTGCTTATGAGCAATAGCATTGCTAATACTGAGGTAATGGACTTCTCACTTGTAAACCTCCTCTCTGTACAAAGAAGGTTTTTTCAAACATAAAAAAAAGAAGTTGTTAATTTTTAAAGGTATTTCTGTATCTTTTTCATTGTTTTTTATTTTATTTAATGAAATATCAATGGCTTCTTTCTCCTGTATTTGATAATACATTGATCATATATTAAAGCTACAGTTACTACTATTAGTTTTCTTTCTTCACTTTGTTTGTTACTTCATAAGAGTTGTACATGAGAGTTTTCTCATTTTTTGTATATCTTTTTAGGATACAATCTAATCATTTGCATAATTCATAATTAAAGTTTTCATTTATTAATTGGGTTGGTCATTTCACTGAGAAAGATTCTTAATATATCTTTGATGTTCCAAATAACTGTGGTATACTTATGTCTGTTCTTCGTAAAAGTAATTAAAGCTAAATGAAGATCAAATTTAGATCTTTTAATTATTGTAAACATGTATTTAGTTTCTTTTCCCTTATTTCATTAAGGTCTTTCTTTACTTTTTTCAAAATTTGTAGAAATCTCAATTTCTTTGATTTTTTTCATTGTATTCCATTTTTGATAGTACCACAAAAGTATTTCCTTTATCAGCCTTTGTAATTATGACTTTTCATTTGCTGTAGATTGCTTACAGCTCTTTTATCTTCTGTGCTAATAATTTGTTTGCCTATTTCATATTCTTTGGATTACTATTTCTGATTTCATCAAAATTTCCTTTAGGAAATCACTTATTGTTCTTGTTTTTGGTTTCTTTGGAAAATAACTTGTTATTTTAGGTCTGTTTATCTTATATAAATCTTGTTTAGCTTCTCCCATTGTTCTGTTTGCTTCTTTAATAATTGTACTTTGTTTTTTATTATATTTTAGTTTTTTCTTATTTTCCTCATCATTTATGATGCAAATGTTGTTGTACTTGCAAGATGATTTCATTTAGACCTTTTTCTTAAATAGTTCATTTCTCTACATTTTACAAGTTTAATAGTTTTTAGTATTTTTCTTGAGTGGCCTCTATAATTTATAAGACTTTAGGGTGAAAGTATCTTGTTTTATCCTTAGAAATGTTGGACATAATTTTTCTTCTTTATATACTTTTTAAAACTTTAATTTGGTTTCCATTTTCTACCAAAGTTATTTAAAATGAAAAATATGACAATGGTAAAGTCTATAAAATAGAATGTGTTTAGACTGAAATTTTCAGTGTATGAGTAGCAGGTAGCAAAAGAATCAAATCATCTAGCAAATGCAGTAAGCACAGAAGACTACAATAACCTTTACAAAATAGTAAAAGACAAAGTTAGAAAAATTACAGATGATATAACTTAAAAACATACAAGAAAATTAATTCATTGGAAAACCAAGCATGCAAATGAAATAAAAACCATCAATTAACGATCGCATACATGATATATTCTTGTGTTGTTTATTTTGTAGAATAGCCTTAATTTGAGTAATAGAGTTCATTACTGAAAATATTTGCTCCTCATAAAGTAGAAACATTGAGCAAATAAAACAAATTGAAAGACTTTCTGGATTCACAGTCATTTTATTTATTCATCATTAAAATATTACATCTCCCAGAATACAATGCCTTCAGTTACTAAGCGACACTACACAATGAAAACCCTCCCAACAAAATGTTATCAAGTCTCTGGTTAGTCCTATTGTCTTTGTAAACAATCACAGTAAGAGTTAAGAAAATTTTGAAGTGTGCGAATCTGAGTGCAACAAGAAAATTAAATTGGTACCTTGGGCCTCAACAACTGCTAAAGAAAGTGCCTGAAACATAAAATGAAACTGTTTTATAACTTATTAATGCATTTCATTATTTGATATATGTGTGTTATGAGCTTGTATAAGCTATTCCATGGAATTATAATTAAATTTTAATATGTTTACTAAGTTTAGGAATTTGAATTTCATGTTAATTAATTAATTTGTAGAGTCAATCTGAAACCTCACTGAAGAAAATGCTCAAGTTGATAAGAAACCTTGTAAAACAGACAGTGTGTTTGTAATATTAATGTAAATATTCTACAGCAAAAATAATAATTCTTTCTTAGAACTTATTAATGCATCTTCCACAGGTTTTCTTCCACTTATTCTTGAAAAAAAAACACACTTTCACCTTTCCCAAATCCATCTGTCTGCCACCTCTTTCAAAATCCTGGAGTCATCATTGAGAACAGTACAAATTAAATTTTTAAAATGTTAAAGTATTAAATTTAGAGAAGAACCTAAGAAAAAGAAAAATCTGGAAGCACTAAGAATAAAGAAATTAAAACCTAACATAAATGAAATGCTATTATATTTCTGTTAAGTTAATTGCATTATAAAACACATAAAACTAATATTGTTGTAAACACTATTACTGGATTGGATTTCTTTGTAATCTGAATACATTTTAATTCTGAATGTTGCACATAATATATCTCCCTCTGTTACCCCAAAAATAGCTATTTAAAACCTTTTTAGAGTATGAGTATAGTCTTTTCTTTTGTAATTCATAATTAATTCTGTTTTAAGAATATTGTATCATCTGATCTTTTACCATTACATAGGTACTTTATCATAATGGTTTTCTTGTATTTTTCTGATTTCTTCCATTTAAAAGAGGAAAACTTGATATAAATAATTAATGTGTATCAATATTTTAGGACCTATTTTAGTGGAGGTTTTAATGTTTATGGGTATCAGTATAACATGTGCCCCTTATGTCTCAGAGGTAAGTCTGAGGGACTTTGAATATAATATTCTGATACAATATGTATCATCTTCTCACATATGGCTTTCCTGATTCATTGCTGCCCTCTGTATGTGAACTTTTTTGTTCACCACCAGCCTTGAGGCTTTCACCTAAACTTGTCTGTTTTCACATGACATTGCTGCATGCAAATGAGCATGTAACAACCGTCCACAAATAGGAGTGTGACACACCCTCCTAGCACAGGACACACTCCCTCTATACTGATTGTTCAATTATCACTTCTTGATTTAGCATTCATGTGTTAAGATATGTTATTGTGTTTTTTTGCACTTTAACTTTTGTGATATTGGAATTTGTTGTGGAAACCTTCAATTTGGATTTTAGTTTTCAAACATTTCTGCACCTGCAGATTTTCTGACATTTTATTTCCACATTATGAATTCCCAAGTCACAGTAACTTCAAATTTGTCTGGTGTGGGACAACTAGACATTGCTTATGCTACACAAACAATTAAAATGGCATCAGGTTTCTCTTTGTCTGTTGAACAAGTGATGTCTATTTTGGGACAGGAGAGGGAGTCTCTCATGCAGCCTAGAAATTCTTCAGTTGGTCTTGCTCTTTCTGTTTTGGGGCCTTTGACCTTCTCTTCTGGGCCCTTTCTCTGCATGTCTGCCTTGTGGCCTGTTATTTTCTAGGTGTCCTGAATCATGTTGTGAATTGTTGCTTGTGGCCAGACAAGATTTCTCCTACAGTGTGGTCCCTCAATTCTCATGTTTTTCAAAGGCTGTGCTCTTGTCTAGGCACCCCTCATAATGATGCCTTAACCATTTAGAACAATATCAAGCTTCCTCTCTTCTGGTCTCCTGTTTTGCATCCATCGGCTCTAGCAATGGATGCATTTAAGCAGGACTGGTCCAAGCTTTTCCTTTAGGTTTGTCTTCCTATTCATATCCTCCCTCATGTTCTTTTTCTCATTCAGAAAATTCTTTGAGGTCCTTCTGGTGGCACCCTATTGGCAAGCTCAATTGTGGTTTCTTATGTTGAATTTTTTGCTATCCTCCTCTTCCATTCTTCCCATTCTCTTCTTCCTCGATCTTGTACTTCGCTCTTTCATCTAGCTGTATCATTTCTCCAACTTCATGCAGGGGATTTGTCTGGTTCTTTTCACATTGTTCAGGACTCTTTTTTCATATGTAGCCTCCCTCTTTTCCCATTCTGTTCACCTGTCCACCATCATCATCATGTATCAATGGAAGTGGCATAATTTTTGCTTTTTGTTGCTGCACCATTCTTTTTCCCCTTCTCATCATTTTGTTCCCCATCTGTTTGTGTGCTTCACTGGGATCTTCAACCATGGCTCATCACTTTTGATTATTGCTGGTTACCAGGAGCTCCTTTTTTATTACTTTCCAATTTTCCCATTACCTTTGGGGTTTTTCCTCCACAGTCCTTACTATGCTCTTTCATTCCTTTCACCTCCATTGCCCTTCCTATCCTTCTAGCCTACCTGAGTGGGACCTTATTATTGTTTTCTATGCCCTTAAACTAACTCCCTAAGATGCTTTTGCTTTCTGTTTCGTACATCATCTCTCCTTTGACTCTACACTTATGGGTTAGGTCCAAAAGGCCTAACATGCACCACCAAAGTAACCAGTCATTAGTCATACTATTACTGTTAATAAGGTATGCATATCTTCACAAAGTTTAGCAGACTAACAGAAAACGTTACAATGCTTTTGCACAGAAAAAATCTGTTTTTTTTAAATTAAGTACTTTAACTAAACATGTGTTCATAAATTTGGTTATGAATTTATCTGACAAACTTAAAAATTCGTCATACATAAGGTAATGATTCACCACTGATGCCATTACTATTTTTATGGACTATAGTGAAATACTTTCAAGAGCAAAACAAACATATTTTGGACACCACATTTCTCCCACAGAAACATTTTGATTACCATATGTATATAATTATTAAAACTATTTACTTATAAATTTCTAGATTTCAGCTACTTTTTTTTAAAAATAGAAAAGTAAGTAAAATATATATAGAAAACAATGATCTGTAGTACTTACAATATTACGAACTTCTTTTGGACTTGTACATTGTACTTGCTAACCCTTGTTGAATCTTGCACATGGAGGGAGTAGACAAATTAATTTTTGTAGATTTTTACATATTCATTTTGAGATACCAAGAAATTATAAATTTAGAGTTTGATACCAAAAAAAAAAACACTCTAATTTACTTGTATTTTAAATAAGCTATATGAAGGTCTAAAAATTTTGTATATGTTTGGACTATTACTTGATCATCACACTACAAACTCTCCAATGGTATAATGACTTTCTCATTATCAATAATTTAGGAAGACTGACAGTATTATATAATTCAAAATGAGCACTTTCGATTGGCTTAAAACATGTACATGAACTAATTACATGTGGCTTCTAAATTTCACTCTGAGTAAAGAAGGTACAGAAAAGTGTACCCGTAAGCATAGAATTAAGGCCTATTTCCTCATCCTTTTGGCTGTGGTCATCTATGCTTTGAATGTATGCCATTGATTCTTCATGCATTCTTTTTCATTGCTCCTATGCCATTCTCCATTCTGATCACACTTTTCACCCTCAACCATTTGCAGCATTTCTCATCTGTCTTCTCACTTGGATCCTGTGTCTGTGTACTCCATTGTTATTTGACTTGCACTTCTCCCTTTGTAATTCCCAGTCCATTCTTTTGATTCCTTCAATTATTTCTTCCACTCATGTTCTTTCACCCTTTCCCTCTCTGGATGGCTTTATCAGCTTGTCCATTTTGTGTATTCTTCATTGGGTGGAACTTACATTGGTGATTCAAATAAACTTATATTGTGAAACTACCAGATGAGGCTGGTACACAACAGTTTTTGTAGAGAGTAAAGTTAAACACACCATCTTGCATTTTATATAATAAAAAACAACATTTAAAAACCTAATGCTTGCCATAGACTTACTTAAGGTGACAAGTTTAAACAGAGCAGTGCTCATTAGAATTATTGCATAGAGTTGTTTTAAGTAATGCAATGAATCATTATGTTGTAATTTCCATTCTATTCTTTATTAAATTATCATTTAATAATTTCTTTCTTTTAGGTTTGTATATCTTACTGAGTGTGAAAGATCCTTGGCGCAAAGTTGGCCACAAATATAGTGCCCTGCAGTTGACAGACCTCGTCTATCTCATAAATTATAACTTAATAAATGAAGAGAAAATTGTAAAGAAACTAAAGTATTGTGAACCGTATCCACCACCAGGACCTTACCAACCATCTTTAGGTTATCCACCTTTGCCACATGAACCTTGTCCTCCTTCAGGCCCTTTTTGTCCAGTATGTTTGGATACAGTAACACAGGAGTTGAAGAATATTATTTGCAGTTTTGTTCTTAGTGAGTGTTTATTACTTTATATGTCATAGTTGCTATTAATATATTTGTTAGAATTAGTTATATAATTGTTTTTTCACTTCAAAAGTAATTCAGTTTTTTCTTAAATTTAACTCTTATAATGATGTATAATAACAAACCTTAACCTTATCATAGTCTTTCTATTTTTACAATTTTGAAACAGTGATATGTTATTATATTTTACTGATATTTTGTAGCATATCAATGTTTCGCTTTTAAGATAAACTTATAAGAGACTTATCGCAATCAATTTCAATTTTTTTATATATTTTTTTGTAAATAAAATGGGTAAATCTTGTGTTGCTTCATTTTGGTGTGGTGTCAGAATTTGAAGGTAATGTGATAAGTATAATGCTTTTTCCTTGATATGTTTTTTTAAACAAATCAGTATTCTTGTCACTAGTTTCTCATATACATATACATAGTGCATGGTATGAGATGCAAAACAATATATGTAAATAATGATTTTGTTTATTGAGAGAAACTATTCTCAAGAAAAATGTTTTCATTAGAAGCTGATCACAACTTTAAAACCCATGTTAAAATGGTAACTTAAATAAGGGAATTCTACCTTTAAACAAGAAAGAATGTACTGCAATCTGCAGTTTGAAACTATAAAAAAAAGGCACTGAGAAAACAGTATAGCTATAACAAATACTTGATTTTCCTTTTCAGCTTCAAACTGCAATAAAATAAAAGCATAAACTTATGTTTTTGTATGTCCAACAGTCTTATGAAATTTTAATTTAGCATTTAAGTATTTTAGTCTAATTAATTTTTATTCTGATTAGAAATTTACTTATAATATTGTATACTAATATCATAATTAGTATTTTTTAATTATTTCAAAAAGAGAGAAAAATTAATTAGCTCTTTTATTATTATGTAAGTGATTGTCATTACAGTTGTGATATGTAAAATACATAAAACTAACAAACTCTTGGATTTTTTCAAGATAATGAATAGGTTTTATATTTATTTGTGGTACATGCAACACCTATCAAATAAACTTCTTTTCAGAGATAAGCAACAAAAAGCCTAGGGATTAGAATAACAGATATTCTTAGACCTTTGTTTCTTTATCCAAATGACTAGCAAATTGATTGAATTGTTGTGGTGAAGTTTGTTATGGTTGATTAAAAACACATTTTTATATACATAAACATTCATTTAACCATTTCAGTTCACAAAAGTCTTTGGAAAAATGTTCATAGAGGTAAGCTGTTACGAATTTCAGTCTTTAATATACTTCATTAATAAATTATATAATTAAACGTTTTTATTTTAAAACATCTTTAGAAAGTCAATCATAGTAAAACTTTTTTTGATAAATAATAACAGTAATGTGTTTTTTAGCTGATAATTATCTAATTGATCATTTCATGAATGTTTTGATCATTTTAAAATGGTTATTTAGTCATGATTTCGGTTGTAATGATTAGTCATTTAGAATGTGTTGTATTAACTATCTGAAACCATGTATATTTTTTTTTGGAATGTTAATTTTGCTAGGATTCAGAAGTAAATAACGAATTAATATAGTTATTCTAGTTATCTCCAAAAGTTTTGAAACAATTACTTGAAACATTTTTGTAGGGCTACTTTCTTCATTTGAAACAATTAATTGTAGTTGCATCTAAAAGTTTATTCTTAACTTTGGTTAACATAAACTGGAGTTTTTTACAGGACATTTATATCAAGGTAAATAAAATAATGACCTGTATCTCCAGAATGTATCTTTATGAGCTCAAAATTTCACTATTACAGCTCCTGACAAAGATATAATAGCAAAATATTGAGTTAAGAAAGATACATACTGGAGATATACGTCACTATTTTACTTATGCATCTAGAAGTTTATTTTTTATTGCAATTTAAGAAGTACAGAAAGTATTACAAAAGTTTCTTTTTTTAGCCATTATTGGCTGCAATATTTTAACTGTAGAATTTCCTTCATATATGATTGCTTTTTGAAATTGATATTTTTTCTGATTATATGAAATTACTTTTTAGGCTATGGAAGTTTCTGTGGAACCCTTGAAATAGAGAAAACATATCATAACAAATTTGGCCAGCCTTCAAAAGAGATTCTTAGTATGAAAGACCATTGTGTCTGTAACCAAATTCCTAAAGATGGTATGTTTGCAAATGTTTAAGTCTCTTCATAGGGCTTTAATATAATTTCTCTAGAAAAAAAATTCAAATATAGAGCTTCATTCACAAAAGACAGTTTTATTATAGTTAGTATTTCTTTTTTATGACAGACAATGTAGTTTTAATTTATATTTTAATTTATCATCTGATCTTTTGAGTAGTAGAGCAAGTCTTTCCAAATGAATACAGTAAGAAAACAAATGGTGGTGTAACATACTTACAGAAAACAAAAATTCTACACTATTGCAAACACTCTGTCTTCATCTATTTAGTTTCATGTGAAATATATATTTGACTTCAGTGACTCTACAATTATAACATTAGTAGGTTTCATCTTAGGTCATCTGGAAACACCAAACTGTAAGGTATGCACCCATCCACCTCCAAATACATGCATACTGGTACCATTATCAAATCACTTTAAACACTACATTTAGTATAATATTACTGATGTTTTTTCACTATTATATTAACCTAAAGCCAGTAATTTATAATATTAGAGAATTGTTCTGTACAAGAAGATAAGTATCAGTTTGGTTAGTCAATAAAACATTATTAATGAAATCATAATTGCTAAACCTTATTGATTGTTTCTTTCTTAGTTTAGTTAACATTTTTGATAAATGTGGAAACAAATTGTACTTCACAGTTCTTTCATGTAATAGTAAATCATTTCTCACAAAATTCTTAAAATACAAGGTATATTATACTAGCCAATATTTAATATGTATATGGATGTGTGCACGTTTGTTTTTGTGTTCTTATTATTTTATCTAGTATCGTGTTTTTCTTTTGGTACTTTCATGTACTTGAATCAAATTCTTTTTTTACAGGAGGAAAGGTGATTATTATTTTTAAAGAAAAAAGCTTTGATAGCGGTAATCTCTACATTCTCCCATACAATTACAAGAATGAAAAAGATGTTGAAAATGCTTTAAGTTACTGTACGAATTTAGATCTTTATCTTCCAAAACCACACGGCTGTCCTGATAAACACCATTCTTGCCCAAACTGTTACCAATCATTGACAAATGAAGTGATGGATAAAATTTGCTCCTTCTTTATAGGTTAGTTCAGAAACAATTTTGTTTATATTGGCTATTCTTTTAAAACTCTTGATTTATTCATCAACTACACCTTCTTCCAGTGTGAAAGCTAATAACCCCTTATAAATCCAGTTACTGCAATGTTTTTTGACAATCTCAACATTTTTCATAATATCCAATTATAGTTTCCTAAAGTTGAGCTTAGTGTAAATAATAAACATACCATATAATTGCATTAAATATTAATTTAGAAAACAATACGTTTGACAAAATAAGATTATTACAAACTATATAACAATTACATCAAGCTTGTTGTCAATTTGAAATGATTACTTTTGTATTTAGGTGATTGGAATGTTTTTAAAGCACACTATATTTTTTAAACATATGAATCCATTTATTTCCAACAAACTGTGTGTTTTGTCATTGTTTTTAAATACCTTCAGCTTTCACATGTCCTCCTGTATCTTCTGCTTGATTTTGATATACAGTATCAGAATAACAAACTATAATAATTTCTTAATCCATAAGTATTTTATTAAAGTAACAAAAATGTTATGTTGTCAGTTTGAAATTGCATTGTAATTATATTGAATCCCCAATTGTGAATAAAAACGATTAGTTTTTCTATGTTAAAAGTAACCGATAAAGTAAGCTAAATCCATTTCAATCTTACTTGTTAACAGTCTTCTTGCATTATGTAAAATGAGATAAGATAAAATTCTTTCTCTTTCAAAATCTTATTGTAACCATACTTTTTTACCTTTTTTTAAATATTAGTACTTGAAGTAAGATTTGAATTTGGAAGAAAATACTTGGGAGAAGAAATGCCAGGTAAGAATTATACTTGGATGGTTTTAGGATTGAAGTTTCATGAAATAAATGATTATGTGCATAAATTATGTTACTATCTCAGAGATACTGATTTGATGTATTTGATCATTATATTTCTTAAAACTGTAATAAAAAATATAAAGTACTGTAATATGATTAAGTCAAATGTACTTATAGACAAAATCAAAGAGTGTGCCACACTGTGCTTTCTGAAATCATTTCCCTAAATATTTTAATATAGGAGGTATATTAAATACATTTTTCACTTTTTAATTTTATTGAAATCACAAAATAGCATAGGCACACAGTAATGTTAACTGACAAAAATAGGATAAATTAAACTCAATTGTGATTGAATAGTTATATATATATTGCTATATGTTAATTCTTGCCTGTGCTATTATGCAGGAATGATGCAAATGTCATCCCTGCTATCCTGTTTGCATTGTTTTTGAAGGATTAATATCAACAGTTCCTACACTTACTTTCTTTTTTGAAACATTTTTTCTTTACTTGTTTGCTTGTTTTTTTTAAGACAGTATTTCAATAAACATAGGAAGGTTGTAATGGCTGGAGACGGCTTGAATGGGTAATGAAGAAAAACTTTAATATAAGTTTAACATAACAGCAAATGTACA